TGGTGCAAAAAGAGTAGAGATTATTCGTCAAACTCTCATTTGTTTTGACGAGTGCCTAAAGATCTGCGGTGGAAGAGTGATAATTTAACATTTTAGCATTACACAAAAATCTAACACACATTTATGTAATTAAAGTGACAAGTAGCAGGAGGAGACACCTTAACTTTTTATATGAAGATTTCTAGAAAGGGAAAAAAGTGATGAGGCTTAACCATGTTGAAACAATCCACTATGTAATAGGGGTACATAGGTCCACTCTTCTCTGAGTTAGGGAATAAGAAATTATAAAGTTGATGTACAACAATATTTTAATAATAATATTATTTGTAACATGTTGCGAAGGCCGTATTTAATTATTATGGAGTCAATATTCTACCACTATTATTTTAATGTCATTTTTAAACTTTTTTTTCTTATGGCTATGAATTATACAACTAAAACTTATTTCACTCAAAGAAATTAAACTTGTGGTAATGATATTATAGTTAAATGCCATTTTTTTTATGATTTATTCATTTATACCAAAAGGATAGGGTTAAAATGGAATTTTCAGCTATTGAGATTTAGCTTTTTTTTTGTTTCAATTAATCAAAGTGTAAAATTTTCGTGGACACAGAAATGTTAGGAAAAAGTCAATTTTTGTTTATGATTGAACAGTTTTATTTATGTATTTCCTTAAGAATGAATTCCTCCTTTTTTTTTTTCCTGTGAAGTTGGCTATTCTTAGTGTTATTTAAAATAATTGATGTATTATTGTGTTATTATAACACCAGGAATATTCCTAGAACACATAACACATGAATACTATAACAATAACATCTGAATAATGCAGAATAACACAAGAGGAATATTTTCATATCTTAAAATGATTTTTTTTTCTAACACCTCCACATGACGTGATTTTATTGGACTCCTTCCTCCGGAGTGGAGTTCAGGCTTAATATTTGTACCTATGGGTGTAAACGAACCGAACACGAACGAATAGAGCTTGTGTTCGTGTTCAGTTCGTTTGAAATTTAGTTTGTTTGAAATAAGCTCGTGATTGAAATTGTTTGTGAAGTCAGTGTTCATGTTCATTTCTTAACGAACGAGCTGAACATGAGTGTTCGCGAACGACTAGCCAGTTTAACATCCTTAATATTAATATATATAAATAATATAATATATTAATTATATAACTTATATTATATAAATATATAATATCTCTATTAGTATATTACTAATATAGTATATTAATATATTGTTATCATTAATTTTAAAAAATATTATAATTTATAAAATTCAAAATTTAAAATATCATAAATTTTTTATATATAATTATTTTAAATTATTTTATATTTTGAACAATAATGATTAGAACACGAACGGACGCATCAGTGTTCGTGTTTGATTCTTTTAACTAAACGAATGAAAAAAATTATTCACATTTATCTCGTTTAATTATTAAATGAATCAAACACGAACTCATTCACAAATCAAACACAAATTGTGAACAAATTTTTTTGACAGTCCTATTTGTACCTAGAATCTGGAGGTTTGTGGAAGCGCATTGTAATTCCTGCGAGGCCCATAAAAACCACTAGTATCCGACATGAAGAAATATAAGATTAAAATTAGTATTTTCATTTATTTGATTTTTGATATCGTGCCATTAACCTCTTTTAAAACTAAAGCCTTTCGCTCGCCGCGGTTCGAGGGAATTCCTCACCACTCCTTTTCTTTCGTTTTCTTCGCTCTTCTTCCAGATCCGCTGAGGTACGAATCGGCTTCTCCTTCTCTCTGTGCAGCTCTATCTCAACTTTAGTTTACCTGCTGATTCATTAGCCTGCTGGGTATATTTGCTTCATTTAATTGTGGTGCCTGTTTTGTTGATTTTGCCAAGAAATTGTTACCTGGTTATCGTTTGCTTGAATTTTTTTGAGTCTGAGAGGCGCATTGGTGGGATCTTGTTTCGTTCTGGTTTTTTCCAGAGTCCAGAGGACCGGATCTGGTGAGTTTCCTAGTAGATCTCTATGAAATGCTTTTAAGAATGCTTTGTGTTTGGGAATTGGAGGGCTGTTTTGGTTTTATCCAGAGGAACAGATATGGTGAAGTTCTGAGGCATGCTTATAGTGATGTCTTATGTTTTTGTGACAGATCTGGTATTGAATACCTTTCATAATTATTGAGCTTAGTATGTTCTTGTTCAATTTTACTTTGGAGGTTTTTGTTTTTGCACTACTTTTTGGGGGATTTTAATCTTTATTTGTATGTCTAAAACGGAAAATGTTGATGTAGATTTTAGAAATGTGATGTTTTTTATGAATTTAATTTTCATTTTTCAGCGATGACATAGAATTGCTCGTGCCGTTGAGTTTTCATTCGTTGATAGTAACTGGGTTAATATAAGACTTGTTCTCGATTAATAGCTTTTCATGGATGTCTCTTGCCTGGAGTTAATGTTCTGCATTCGTCTAACCACCTTTTGAAGAAAAAAGGATGCTCTTTTGTTGTTAGCTCGGAATTTTGAAGACTTTTTAATAGGGGCGTGCATTATTTGGCTTAAACCGAAAAATTGAACCGAGCCAAGTCAATTTGGTTGAAATGTCAATTTGGTTGATTCGGTTCAGTTTTTTTTTTTTAAAAAAAAAAAAATTGGATTACGATTTTAGAAATGTTAAAGTTTGGTTTTTAGTTTACGGTTTGGTTTTAATTCTTATTTAACTGAATGAGCCGAAAACCGAATTTTCTAGGCAAATCTTTTTTGAAATATTTAGTAAGTAGATTTTTTAGTGATTAACATTACATAGTCATTGCTAAGTAATCTTCATTTTCTCAAATTATCATCATATGCTTATATCTTTAAACAATATTTCGGTTTATGTAAAACTAAATTGTTCAAACCAAATTAAACTTCGGTTTGACTGGTTTGGTTTTATCAAAATTTTGTTTGGTTCGGTACTTTCGATTTTGGATTTCGGTTGAAGTCAATTTGCCCAATTTGAAAATCTAAACATCCAAACCGACTGAATGTTCACCCCTACTATTCAGTGGTGTTTAAAGCAACATTTCATGAACTTAAGATATCTTTTTTTTTTAAATGAGATCAAGAAAAAAAAGGACCAATTCTATGATGTGCAAGCATAATAATATGTTTCTTACTAGTTAGAATGCCTAGTACGGAAAAAAAAAAACCATCTTACTATATATTTTTTTAATACAAGTACGAAGGCCACCATAATTTTATAGATACGAGAAACGTGGCTTAGCTAGGACCTAAGTTTAGTACGTTCTTAGGGAAGGAACACATAAGTTTTTTTGAGTAGCATGGTTTTATACCCTAAGCCCCAATATGTTTTTACAACTTGATTGATGACATTGTGATTGGTAATGAGGCCAGACGTGAAAGTACTCTTGTTAACTTTTTGGCGCTTGATTGTAATATAATATTAATTGCTTCTTGCAATTGATGCTCGTCACATTAGGAGGTGCTACGACATTAAACTCTAAATTAGCTTATTGTTCTAGTGATATTTCTAAACTTCCGAACAACCCTTACCACAAGTATAAACAATAGACCTCAAGTCAATTTTATTCAATATTTTCTTTCACTTATTGATACAAAGGTGTGCAGTATGACCACCTACAGCTTTGAGGTGTAAGATATGACCATCAAATTTTCATGGGTTCCAATTTGATATGAAGTAGAGCATACAAGACAAGAGACTTTGATTGGTTTAATGGCTTGAAATTTATTCATTTTCAAACTTTTAAGATGTTTTGGTATTCATTAGAGGGATGCTTTGATTTAATGTGTGTTGATGCCTTAGCATCCATCCAAATATATATGTGAATTTTCTTGTGTCCTAGAATGTTAATCAACGGAAATTGAATTTGCATTGTTGTAGCACAACTCATGAAGTTGACTTAATTCTTTGGGGATTAGAAGCTTTTGATAATGTTTATTCCTAGGAGAGGTTGCTAACTTGTTAGTATGAATTTCAGTAAAGCTGCTTGGGCATACATATTGATGTCGGATCTTAACTAGGATCCATGGATCAACTAAGAAGTATCATTTTCAAATTTGGGTTCTCAACCAACTTGCTTGATCAATTGGATTGATGTTATGTAATTTTGAGAGACAAGGGATGTTCTATTGAAACCATTGGGTAAGCTTCATGCTCATTTGGAGATTTGTTGGGCGTCAACTCTAGCACAAATAGGGAGATATGGGTTTGAGGACTATTTACATTGCTTGGCTATGATGGCATATAGTTCCTTGAATATGTTATGTGATGATCCGTTGTCTTAGCACATTTTTCAGAGCGAACTTGTATATTCAGGTTAACAACATGTGTTTTGATTAAACATTTAGTCTAGAGATTGTTAGAGCTACATCTTACACAATGATCAAAGTTTATATTTTTTTCCTCTTTTTTCACCACAATGTGGTTATAGTATGTTGTTTTAGTAAAATTTCAATAACTACAACAACTACAACAACAACCCCTTATCCCACTAAGTGGGGTCGTCTATACAAATCATTTTTCTCTACTGCTTCATATTGAGTGTCATATTTTCATTTAATCCTATTAGATTAAGATCATGTTTTTATATAATGTGCCTCAGTCTTTTTAGGTCTACCTCTGCCTTTTTTTAACATAACTAGAATGTAAAATATTTACTCTCCCATCTGGATCATCTGATGGTCAACGTTTAATGTGACCAAACCATCTATGATGACTCTCTCTAATATTTTTCGCCACTGGAGCTACACTAACCCTATAACATATATATTCATTTCTTATTTTGTCTCTAAGTGTCAAGCCACTCATCTACATAAGCATTCTCATCTCAACAACACTTAACTTTGTTTTATACTTCTCTTTTAAAGGCTTATATTCTGCGCTATAAAGCATTGCAATTCTCAACACTATCTTATAAAATATCTCTTCAAGTTTAAGCGGTACTTTTCTTTCACACAATAGGCCATATGCATTCCTCCACTTAAATCAACCAACATGAATTCTAATAATAACATCCCCATCTATATCACCATCACTTTGAACAATAGACCCGATATATCTAAAACGTTCACCCCGTTTAATGATTTGGTCGGCTATAGTTACAACTGTGCCACTAGAGCTACTACTACTAAAATTGCATTCCATGTATTTAGTTTTAGATCTACTCAAACGAAACTTTTAGACCTCAAGGTAAAACTCCATAATTCAAGTTTTTCTTGAACTCTTTCTCTAGTCTTAGCCACAAGAAGGATATCATTAGCAAAAAAACATACAACAAGGTACATCCTCTTGTAAATGTCCAATAAGAGCATCCATAACTAAAATAAAAAGCTATGGGCTTAAAGCAGATCCATGATGTTATCCAACTGAAATAGGAAAATGCACAACTGAAATAGGAAAATGACTGAAATAGGAAAATGCATTGTCAATCCTCCTTCTGTTCGAACACAAGTAACAACTCTAGTATACATATTTTTAATGAGTTCATATAAGTCATATCACCACCTTTCTTTTCTAGCTCTCCAAAGGACTTCTCTTGGAACCTTATCATAAGCTTTTTATCAAGGACTTCTCTTGGAACCTTATCATAAGCTTTTTCTAAATCAATAAAAATCATACGTAGGTCCTCCTTACTCTCTCTATACTTCTCCATCAAACCTCTCAGTAAATCTACAACTTTCTTAGTAGACATGCCCGACATAAATCCAAATTGATTATGAGAAATCTTTATATCACATCTTAGCATATGTTCATTTACCCTCTCTCATAATTTTAAAGTATAACACATAAACTTAATTCCTCTATAATTTGAACACTCTTGCGCACCCCCTTTATTCTTATAAATAGGGATCAAAATAACCTTCCTCTACTCAGACTATTTTTAGTCTATAAAATAATTAAAGAGTTTAGTAAGCCAAGAAACTCCCAAAATTTCTTAAATATTTCACACCTTAATTGAGATATCATCAGGTCCTATTGATTTTTCATTATTGTTTTTCTTTAATCCTCTTCAACTTCTTTTTTACTGTTGCTACGGTAAAAAAAACATTTTATTATTTTTAAGGATATTAGGATCACAAGGTCGATTGCATTTTCAGAAGCTTCATTGAAAATTTTATTACAATAGCTCACTCACCAATGTTGAGTATCTTTCTCTCAGAATAATATTTTTTGATTTTCATATTTAATACGCTTGAATTAAATCCTTGCTTTTCTTTTCCCTTTGTTTGACTAGTTTATAAATATATATTTCATCATCTTTAGTATCTAATTTATTATAAAAATCACTAAAAACAGAATTTTTAGCGTCACAAATTTTCAATAACCGAAAAGTTTAAATATTTTTTTTTACCCAAAATGCAAATGAAAACTTATCTTTAATATTTTTTGTGACCTTTAGAATTAATTTGGATTTGCTAGAATTTACTGCACATGGCCAGAATTGGTTTAATTTGGCCTTAGTTGATGTCGTTTGCCCTATAAGCATTACTATCTATCAAATGGGTTATGATCATCTTTTTAGTGATTTAATAGTGATAACAAATTCTACATGACATCATTTAATAATCTGCACATGGCCAGAATTGGTTTAATTTGGCCTTAGATCATTTAATAAAATAATAAATGTTTAATAAGCTAATATAAAAAAGTGGCTTTAAAGCATTTCTTTGTTTATTCTCTCAATTGATTTGTAGACAAAATTACCTTAAAAATAATTAAAAATTATTACTTACAGAGGATTAAAAAATTAAATCCACATTCTAAAACTTCTCATAATTGCTTTTGGGAGGTTTTAGTGATCCATGGCACTCCCATTTCTTTCAAGCACATAAATTAATGGTGCTCATCTTTCCTTGTTATGCACATGAATCCGCGGCATTTATTTTCCCGTATTTTTCGCATGGTTTTGTGGCTCATTTTATTTTTTATTTAACAATTCTAATACTTTCAATACTCTCTCAAATTCAATGGCGGAGATCCATCATTTAAAATTTGCTTAAGATATTTTTGAATACAGTGTTATAAAGTTTATTGATAAATATCTCAGCTAGTTTAATTTCAAGTTGGAATATATGGAATACAAATTAATTTTTTTTTTATAAAATATCTATCCATCTCAACTTGTTTTGTTTGATCATATTGTATTGTATAATGGACAATACTTATTTGATTTTTAAATTTTCTAGTGTAATTTTAATCTATAAGAATTTACAAATATCTTGAGAGGTTGCCCTGAATTCAAATTCAGCATTGTACCTTGAGACGAGTTTGTTTCATGCTTCTCCATATAATCAGAATGCTCCTAGTACCATGCGTTATATTGAAGTAGATCTAATATCTACTGATGATCTCGCCTAGTTAGCATTAATATAATATCCCCTTAGGTCCAGCACTGTATACCATTCTTTTTCTTCTAATAATAATAGAGTGCTTCTATTAGAAGTCCATGTAGTTTTTTTCCAACAGCCGCATTTTATTTGTTCCTTGCTTGCTAGATTTTTTTTAAACGCTTTATTTTGTTTTAAATTCTATCATTGGAACGCGAACATTCGTACAGTTTGTGAATCTTTTTTTTTTTTCATTTATTTTTCCAAATATTTGCTCTAGGTTTGCTATACATTAAAAGATGGCGATTGGAAGGATCCACCGGGTTGACAATAGGAGGTCGCCCTCATGTTGTTCAAATGCGACCCTCGTTGTTTTCGTTGCTCTGTGCTTGGTGGGAGTCTGGATGATGACATCATCTACTGTGGTACCAGTAGAGATGCCAGCATCTGGCAAATCTAAAGTGGCAGAAACGGTTTCAGATGGCCTTTCCAAGCACTTTGAGGGGAAGTCTGGGGATGTTCCTGAAGATAAATCACAAGGGGATACTAAATCCAGCGGAGAGGCAACTGCAAGAAAATCTAATAATGAGGCTTCAGATGATCAGGCTGCCCCAGAAAATTCAGAAGACAACTCTTCTGATTCAATTAAGGGAGAGAAGGATGACTCTGTTGGTGAATCAAAACCTCAGACGTACAGTGATGTGAGCGGGACCGGTGAAGGTGGTGAAGTAGCAAAAACAGCTGAAGGCGTGCTTGCTGAGGGTGGTTCTACGGAGTCGCGAAAGAATGGGCAAAACATCAGTACAGAACAGAGTTTGACTGAAGCTAGGAATACTGAAAAGGGAATAAACAAGGAGAAAGATGCTGATCAAGAAGAGAGTTCTGAGCAAAACAATGATTCAGAGCAGAGTTCTGATGAATCTGCTACAGAATCTCAAACAGATCAATCAAATAATAAGAACTCTGAAGAAACTGCTGGTGATGAGGATCAACCTGGAAATGAGGAAAAATCCAATGATGCTAGCAGTAGTGTGCAAAAACAGTCGGATAACAAGAATGTAGGGGAGGAGAAATCTGAAGATGATGCTGATGCAGTGCAGGCTGAGAAAGAGGAAGGGCTGATAAAGGAGGAGGCAGGGCAAAATCATGAGAAGGAGGTTGAAAAAGCTAATGTGGAGAACAAGACTGAACCTCAAGCAAAGGACCGGGCTGTTGATGATATATTGCCAGATGAAGCTCAGTCTGATCTTCTTAATGAGACTAATACACAAAATGGGGCTTGGTCTACACAATCTGCTGAATCAAAGAATCAGAAAGAGCTTCAAGCATCCTCATCATCCAAGGGACAATATAACTGGAAGCTTTGTAATGTTACTGCAGGAGAGGATTATATACCTTGTCTTGATAATGAGGAAGCTATCAAGAAGCTCCGAAGCACAAAGCATTATGAACATCGTGAAAGGCATTGCCCTAAAGAGGGGCCAACTTGTCTTGTTCCATGCCCAAAAGGATATCGAAAGCCTATTGAGTGGCCTAACAGTAGGGAGAAGGTACATGGCGCTACTGACTGATCTAAGTTTTGATGTGATATGCATGACTTTTTTGGATGAGTAAGCTAATTAGTTTACTCTGTTTTGGATATCAATTAACTGCAGGTATGGTACTACAATGTTCCTCACACTAAGCTTGCAGTTGTGAAGGGGCACCAAAATTGGGTTAAAGTGAGTGGAGAACATCTTATTTTCCCTGGTGGTGGAACTCAATTTAAAAATGGTGCACTTCACTACATTGATTTCATCCAAGAGGTATGAATCTTTGTCATATTTTGGCATTTTTTTTAACAGCTTGATTGATCATTGTTTAGAATATTCTTGTTGAGCAGATGCTGATTGCTATTATGGTTTGATGATGCCTCTTAAGTATATGTTTAATTGAGATCCTTACCTCTGATATATGAGATGTTTTCTTTCATTTTCACGTAGTCATTACCTGATATAGCGTGGGGAAAACAAAGCCGTGTTGTGTTAGATGTTGGCTGTGGGGTTGCTAGCTTTGGAGGATATCTCTTTGACCGAGATACTCTCACCATGTCTTTTGCTCCAAAAGATGAGCATGAAGCTCAGGTGCAATTTGCCCTTGAAAGAGGAATTCCGGCAATATCAGCTGTCATGGGAACCAAGAGACTCCCTTTTCCTAGCAAGGTCTTTGACGTTATTCATTGTGCTCGTTGCCGAGTGCCATGGCACATTGAAGGTAAGCTTTTTCCGTATATATACTTTTTTCAGTTACAATTTGCTCTAATCTTTCAGTATATGTACTTTTTTCATGCAAAATTACTGAAGGAGTAAGCTTTAGGTGGTATGCTATTGTTGGAACTGAATCGATTGCTACGTCCGGATGGCTATTTTGTATGGTCTGCTACTCCAGTTTATCGAGCATTGAAAGAAGAGCAGGAGATATGGAATGGTATTTTATTTTTTGTATATTACAGCTTCTCTAGTTTTAACTTGGTTGAAATGCATGCCAAAAGTAGTGATAATGTGGAATCTGATGAAACTTATTATTCTTGAATGAACAATATTTAAGTAACTAGATGTTATGGCTAATTGTTGAAACTATTATTATTAAAAATAAGTAATGAAAGGAGCCTTGGATTCATGTAATAAATATAATAGAATATGTGCTATAAATTCAGATGTTTAATATGAAAAGAGGAGTGCCACGGATTCTTGTGCTTAACATTAAAAGTAGAGTGCCATGGATTCATGTACTTAATATGGAAAGGGAGTATCGTGGATTTTGCTTCTCCCACTAGCTAAGAGGCAACAGTTTTAATTTTTAAATTCTTTATAATTATTATTTTTAACTATTTTCTAGGTAATTTTTTGTATAAATGCTTATGGAGGCAATGAATAAATACTAGCTACTTCTTTTCTATATTGTATTCAAATAAGGTCTAATTTTACTTCTTTTCTAACATTTATTTTTACATCTTTTTCATTTTTCTCCTCATCATGCTTGATTTTTTTTACTTCCCTTCTAAAAAGTTGACTATCATAAATAGGGAAAATTAGATTAAAGGAGAATTTTTTTTAAATATTGCAGACCTTGTAAGACCTTGTATCATTTGAATAGTTAAAAAAAAAAACTTCAAGTGGTCTCAAGTTATGAATGCCTTTGTGTAAGAAAAGGGGGAAAATCCATCATCTTCTTGATCCTCTAATGGCTCTAACTTCCCAAAAGTTTATACGTTAAGTTGATGCAGATTTCGTGTTCATGTCATACTTATGAAACTTAATGCATATGCCTAACAACATCAAGTCATTTGAGAAGCTATCAAATAAACTCGAAAGTTTAAATTGTTGCGCTCATGTATAAGATAAGACAAAGCTCTTACCAACCGAGTAGGTTAACCTCGCTATCATTGAATATTTCAATATAATAAGTTTTCATTAGTGAGAATTAGATTACTATCAATGTCTCACAATGAATTGTAGTAATGATATATGTTTCTCAAATAATTTGTAGAAAGAGAGGATGTTTAGCATTCTTGTGAGACTCAATAATAAAGTTGACCAAATTTGTATTCAAATCTTGAGCATAAAGAGCCTATCCCTAAATGAGATATTCTCGCTCATTTGAATTGAAATAAGAAGGTATTGTTTTACACGATCAAATTTGAAACATCAACAATGACAAGCATAGTACCCCAAGATAAGGGACTTGTTATCGCCAAATCTCATCAAAAAGAAGGATAAAAGCCTTTACCTATAAGCACTTGTAGTGCTATTATTGTGAGAAAAAAGGCATATTAAAGAGAAATGATAAAAACTCTACAAGCAAAACTCCAAAGTTGTATTGTAAATAAAGAAGGCGAATTGAATAAAGAAAGATTATCTTGTTTAACCAAGAACTTTCAACTTGGAATTGATAATTTAAGGACTTCTTGACTTCTTTAATTCGCTCTCATTCGCTCTCAAAAAAAAAAAAAAATCTTTTGTGTCTTGCTGTCTGGATCAAAATTATATAATTTTTAATTCTTGTACTCTTATGACATTGAATAGGAAATTAGAAAATAAGTTAATTTGCACTCCATATATTCAAATAGGAATTCAACTTGCTAACATATTTAACAAACCTGCTTCCAGAGGCATCTCAAGTAAACTTTAAATGGTAGATCTCTACAATCCAGTGAAGGTTAAGTTTTGATAGTATTAGAATAGCTAACTAAGATATAAAAGGATTAAAAAATTCATGTGATAAATAAGGAGAAAATGCTAAATAAGGTATAAAAGGAGCCACAAATTCACGTGCTAATTAAGGAAAATATGTGCTATGAATTCGTGTGCTTAATATGAAAAAGGAGTGCCATGAATTCATGTACTTAACATGAAAAGAGTATTGTCATGGATTCATGGTGCTTAACATGTCAAAGGGAGTGCTTCAGATTGCTCACTTCCCACTAGTCAAGATAAGAATTTTTGGCCAATCCCCAAATACTGTTTTAATTTTAAATTTATAATAATTAAACAAATTTTTTTTTAAAAAGTAATTTTGTGTATAGATAGCCAGGGGGGAATGAACAAAGCATGCTTTCAAGTCAATGCTTTTCTATACGAACAAAATATAGCTAAATTTTATATTTTGGGTAATTTTAACCTTGTACATTCCTTTTTTTTTCTATTGAGAGTGATTGATGTGGAAGAAAAAAAAGAACTCAGCCTTATTAACAGATGAGAGAGAGAGGGATCATTTTCTTATTCCCCTTCAAACACGTGCAACTTATTTCGAGTTGATTGGATTCCTTCCATTTTTTCATGGACATGGGCTATGATTTAAATCTCCTTGTCTTATGATGTTTTGAATTCATTGTATTCAATCCTAACAGGCACTTCCGCATAAAAAGTATATATTTTTTTTGGCCTAACACGATGTAGTTTGCAGCACCGATCTTTTAATGTATCTGTACTTCATATTTTTATTTCATGGAAATCCCACATTATAACTCTTACCATATTTTTTTCATCAAATTATACGAGGAAAGCTTTTTTTTTAGGGGGAAAGCTGCTTCTGTTAACATCTATTTTTTGATGCCTTGGATCTTTAAGATTTGAAGTACCACGTCATTAATAACGTCTCTAACTTAAACATTTGTGTGGGACTTGATTCCAGCAACGTTTGCTTTGACAAAATCTCTGTGTTGGGAAATGGTAACTAAAACAAGGGATGCCCTTAACGAAGTAGGTTTTGCTATATTCAGAAAACCATCAAACAATGCCTGCTATGACACAAGAAGCCAGAACAGCCCACCGCTCTGCCAGGAATCTGATGATCCAAACGCAGCCTGGTAAGCTTATAATCAAAATGTACTACGATTTCTTCAGTCCTTTCACATTTATTTACCCATTTTATTCTAAAATGATAAAGGAATATTCAACTTCAAGCATGCATACACAAGTTGCCTGTCGATCCCACTCTTCGTGGCTCACATTGGCCCGATAAATGGCCGCAAAGGTTGGAGACACCACCATATTGGCTCAACAGCTCACATGTTGGGGTTTATGGCAAACCTGGCCCTGAGGATTTCCGAGATGATTATAACCATTGGAAAAAAGTAGTTAGTAAATCTTACATTAATGGAATGGGTATCAACTGGTCTAATGTGAGAAATGTTATGGATATGAGATCAGTATATGGAGGGTAAGTGATCTGCCTCACTTTATTTTGAGTTTTTGCATGGATTTTATCCTATAAAAGGGCCCACTTTTAAAGAAGAACATTTCTTTTTATGTGAATAGAAATAAGAATAAATCTTTCATTCTATGTCATGTAAGACCAGCATTAGTAAATCCTTTTTATTTTTAAATTTTTGCAGCTGTGTACAGCTGTGTAATGTGCCATGCTGGATTATAATAAAATAGGGATATTAACTGTTTCCATTATTTTCTTCATGATATTTCCCTTTAGAGAAAAGTGACAAAATGGTCTACAAACTCTTTGCAGGAGGCATTCGAGTCCCAAAGTCTATGGAAGTGTCAATTTAGGACACAGAAATATACAGGCTTAAGTAGTCCCCGCACGGTTAAAAAAATTTCGGGACTAATCTGACATTTTTATAAATTTTGGGATTATAATGGCCCAATGTAAATATTCGAGACTATTTTGGCACTTTATTACTTTATTAGATATGCTGTCGAGCTGGAACTCATTGAAAAGCTTGTTGTGATTAATTTTTAATTTTATCCTTTAACTCATTGATATCTGTTGCTTCGGTTGTTTTTGACAGATTTGCTGCAGCCTTACGGGACATGAAGGTTTGGGTTATGAATGTTGTGTCCATTGATTCACCCGACACCCTTCCTGTCATATTTGAACGTGGGCTCTTTGGCATATATCATGATTGGTGCGAATCATTCAGCACCTATCCTAGAACATACGATCTTCTTCATGCAGATCATCTATTTTCCAGGATCAAGAAGAGGTGAATATTGCTCCTTTTTCTTTTTTTTGGGAAATATACATGCATACCACACAATTTTTATGTATTTGCATAACCAACACCTAAATTTTATATTCATGTTTATAACACTTTGGTTTCATAAAAGGTTTATTGAACTTCTAAAAAGTAAAAATGGTATTTTTGATGTCATATTAAGGGTTTGAGTGCTGTTTATGTAAATATGAAATGATCTTCTGTTTCAGAAGCTTTCAGACGATAAAACTAGATACATACTACTCATTTCTTATGTATTTACATATC